CCTGATACTGCTGCTACCCCGCTGACTCTGTCCCCAGACTCTCCCTGAATCCCTCTGGAGCCTGTGGTTGGTGGGCTGAGATGAGCAGAGAGGCTTTTAGCCTCGCCCTTTCTCAGTGACATTGTCCAGAAGGGTGAGCCTGGACTTCTGGAGCGGCTGCAGCAGCCTGGTGTCAGCAGCTGTGCCCTGCAGGAGAGCACAGCCTTTCCTTTCACCTCGCTGCCCCGGCTGCAGCTCCCGTTGTGCACTCGGGGAGCTCGGGGAAAGCTCAGCAGCCCGTGCTGCCTCTCCCGAGGGAAGCCTCCAGGCAGGAGCTGCTGTCTATTTCTGCCCTCTGCCTGCAGAAGGGCCCGTGGGCTGCGCTGTCCTGGCCTCCCCCTGCTATGGGGGCTGGGAGGGGGTTTGGTCTGGCTTGCAGAGGCTGCCTGGAGCTTTCTGCTCCGTTTCCTCCCGCCAGACAGCGCGGGTATTTTTGGCTGCGGTGCGTGCTGTGCCTTTCCGCCTCCCTGTGCCGTGAGGAGCGGTGCCACACATGGGATGGGGCCCCATCCCTCCCTCCTGCTGGCACACGGCGTGCTTGGTGGAGCACTTGGAAAGGTTCTTCTCTCCAGCACCCAGGAAGGTGTTCCTCTGAGTGAGATGTCTTGGTATTTTCAGCCAGAGCCAAGTCTGGTAACTCCTTGAATTCACTCTGTCCCTTCCCTTCAACAGCTCCCAGTGTCTGGAACTTAGAATGGTGGAATCACTGAATGCTTTGGGCTGGAAGGGATCTTAAGGCTCATTGTCAGAACCCTGCCCTGGTTCAGGGGTTCCATGTGGTGGAAAAATCCCTCCTCCAACCCGTGCTTCCAAAGAAAGGCTCAGCAGTCTCTTGTTGTTTGGTCTCAGGGCAGTTTATTGCAAGTTATCTAAAAGATTTTCTTCTGGGGCTGCTGTGGTTTGCTCACAGCTCAGGCAGAGGCACACACACACCCTGACATCCTCTCTGACTCCCGACTGCTTCTTCTCTCCCCCTCTGCCCAGGGCTGCTGCTGTCTTTTATATGGCACATTACGTGTTACATGGGTACAGTTTTTCCCCAATGCCTATTACCTATATTAAATAGGTAACCTTTTCTACTCTAAACCAATCTGTGAGTGCCAACATCACCAAGAACATGGAGATAAGGAAGAAGAAAGAGGAGGAACAGGACCAGCCTACATTCCTCCATCTTAAAACCTCTGACCCCCTTGTACAAAACCAAAACCCCCCTGTACAGCACTCAAAAATTCTTCCCTTAACTTTGTGACTACTTCTACTATAATATCTAAACTTGTGTGACTTCTTGTTCTTCCTGCAAAGTTGATAAATCATTCCATGGTTCAAACCCAAAATCACAGCTGTTTCCAGCTGCCTGCCAGGGTCTCAAATGCTTCTGACCTGGGCCTAGAACCTCCAAAAATGTCTGAGGGACATTTTGAGTTCCGACAGCTCATCTCATCCATGGGCATGGACACCTTCCATTATCCCAGGTTGCTCCAATCCCCATCCAGCCTGGCCTGGGACACTTCCAGGGCAGGAGCAGCCGCAGCTGTTCTGGGCAACCTGTGCCAGGGTTTCACCACCTCCATCCCTTCCTGCTCTTCCTCCTGCTCCTGACATCCCTGTCAGGGTGACACTCAGGTCCAGGCTCCAGACCTGCCAGCTGATCTCTTCCAATTTAGCTGTTCCAGCCTATCTTTACCCCACTTGCCTGAATTTTGAGAAGGTGCCCATGGAAGTCACTCTTGGCGCCAAGGCTATTGATTTTGCTGCCTGAGGGGAGGGCACGGGGCTGGAATGTGGGTGGGATGAGCACAATCCTCCTCTAAAAATGCCAATGGAAACTCTATCCCCAAAACAAGATGGATGAGCTCCAGGCTCCCTTTTCCACAGCTGCTTGGTTTTGTGCTCCCCTGTAACCTTCCCCTGAGGCATGTGTGTGCTCCCTCCTGTGCTCCAGCTGTGCTGGAATGCTGTCCATGCTCACTCCTCTCCTCTCCTGTCCCTGGCAGCGGCTGGATCGCGGCGCTGTCGGAGGTGCACGGGAACGTGGCCGTGGTGGTGATCATGATGGTGGTGGCAGCCTTCTTCACGCTCTGCGCCGTCCTCTCCCTCTTCCTCCTCAAGCAGGTGAGTGGCTCTGGGGCCAGCAGAGCTCAGGCTGCCCCCAGGGCTCCTGGGTTTGACACTCCCTTCACCCACCTGGAGACAGGATCGGCTCAAGAGGTTTTAATTAAAGTATTTTTGCTTGTGCTTCCTGCAGCGATGCCAAGTTTCTTGGACACTCTTGAAGTGGGAAGTAGCCTCCCTCTGGAGTCACAGAATCATGAAATTATTTGAGAAGGGACCTTAGAATTCATCCTACCTCCTGCCAAAGGGCAGGGACACTTTCCACTAGCCCAGGATGCTCCAAGCCCTGTCCAGCCTGGCCTGGAACATCTCCAGGGATCCCAGGGCAGCCACAGCCTCTCTGGGCACCCTGAGTCAGGGCCTCCCCACCCTCACAGAGGATTTTTCCCCTGATACCCCATCCAACCCTGCCCTCTGGCAGTTTTAAACCATTATTGCCCCTTGTCGTGCCTGGAGCTGGCAGAGCAGAGGTGGCTGTGGCTCTGTTCAGCATCCAGGGATTTTCAGTCACTGCTCCCACAGCATTTTGAGGCTTTTCAAAGCCTGGTGGGATCCCAGCGAGTGCCTTCCCACTGGTTCTTAAACCCAACCCTCCTCCCTCCTCCTGCCTGACAGCAGCAGGGCTGGAATTCTGCAGGAGCAGCAGAAATGGAGCTTAGGGAAGGCAAGGACAGGCTGAACTGATCCTGTTTCTGTCGGTGCTCCCTTCTGCTCTCCTGCGTTTATCCTGATGCTGTTGGCACCTTCAGGTCCTGCCCGCCAGCAAACACTGGGTTAAATCTGAGCCATCACAATATGGGGAGTTTTGGGTCTGAAACCAGCAATTTTGCTGAGAGCTCCACATTTTTCAGCAAAGGAAGGTCTCCTGAAATCTGCAGCATCCCATGCTGGGATGGAGGCACGGCACAGGCTGCAGCCCATGCTCTGCAGCTCTCCAGGGAGCTGCTTAGCCAAGGGAAAGCTGGGTGTGCACAGCAATCCCACAGCCACGGGCTGATTTCATTCCCTCTTTCCCTCCCCTCTTGTCCCCAGGTGCATTCCCTGTATCGGCGCACAGGAGCCAGCTTCCAGAGGGCCCAGGAGGAGTTTTCCCAAGGCATCCTCACCAACAGGAGCTTCCAGAACGCAGCAGCTGGGGCGGCCTCCTCGGCTGCACAGAGCGCTTTCCGGGGAAACTAACCCTTCCCAGGAAATCCAGCCCTTCTTCCCGGGAAATCCAGCCCTCCTTCCCGGGAAATCCAGCCCTTCTTCCTGGGAAATCCACCCCTTCTTCCCGGGAAATCCACCCCTTCTTCCTGGGAAATCCACCCCTTCTTCCCGGGAAATCCAGCCCTTCTTCCCGGGAAATCCAGCCCTTCTTCCCAGGAAATCCAGCCCTTCTTCCCGGGCTGCCTCCCTCTCGCTTCCTCTGCCCTCATCTTCCCAACCTTCTTTTTTTAATTTTTTTTTTTTCCTGAAAATGCACTTTTTTTGGGGGTACCATGTGAGCTCTGTGATGCCGACACTCCTGATGAGAAGAGGTTTTGTTTTTGGCTTCAGCTGAGCTACGGTTTGGATGATTAGTTTTCCCTGTCTTGTTTTAGGGTGTGGGGAGATGGGGGAAGACATTCTCTGAGGTAAATATTCCTCTTTCCAGGACCTTCCAGGTGTTTGTCTCTTCCTCCCCTCACTCTGTCTGTAGCAGGAAGATGAGGTGAAGCAGGTTTTTGATTTTACTCTCTCTTCTCTTGGCCTTTGCTATGAAGAACTTGATTATCTACTGTTTTGGAAGGGTTTTGTAACGTGCATGTAGTTGATGTTGTTAATTTTAAGAACAGAAACCGTACTTCTGATTTATTACACTCACACGATGCTGTATTTTGACCTCATAACTGCTGGGCTTCCTGAGAGCCAGGAACGAAAATCTAGGAGCAGGGGGGAGTGTGTGGGAGTGTATTTCCCCTGGTGCCCCCAGGGCACATCCCTTGCTTCCATGAGGATCCTGCAGGTGCCAGCCCTGGGCACGGAGGGGAGGAGAAGGGAATCGGTGGAGGGCGAGTCTTCTCGGTGACTTGAAACCCAGAGAGGGAGGGGAAAAGGGATTTTGGTTTGGCTCCCAGCTCCAGTTTTGGCAGCTGAGGATGCTGGGTCACACAGTGCCTGTGACGCCCTTCTCCAGCTAACCTTGGATGAGTCTTTCTCCTGGGAATGCTCCTCCCTGCCTTCCTCCTCACGAGTTTAATTGTTTTTTAGCTGGGAAGGAACTGTTTTCATGTGTGTTCAGCTGCATCCCACGCTGGGATGTCCCTTGGGGTGTGGATGGGGGCAGGTTCCCACCTCTCCCTCCTTCAGCCCCGTGGTTTGGGTGTGGGGAGAGGGTTTCATGCAGATTTGGCTTTGTGGTGCCCCTTTGCCGGGCTGGGGGTTGTATTAGACCCGCATCCCGTGCTGGTGAGGGGCGGCGGGGGGGCGCTGGGATTCAGAAATCGGTATTTTTACACCCTTTTCCTTCTGTATTATTGGAATTTTTTTTTTTTCCCCGCGTCTGATCTTTTAATGTTTAAAAAATTATTAATAAAACCTGTTCATGTGGTCCGGATGCGATGCCCGTGCCGGCTGAGGGGGCGTGGCCAGGGTGGGGGCGTGGGCGTGGCCTCGAGTGGTGATTGGTTGGGGCGTGACCAATGTAAATGAGGTGGAGTCAGGGGCGTGGCTTGGCTACATATGAATGATGTGTGGGCGTGGTCATGGCTGATGGGGGCGTGGCATAGAGTGGTGATTGGTTGGTGCGTTAATGGGGTGGGGAGGGGGCGTGGTTTGTTTCGATGTGAATGGCGTGTGGGCGTGGCCTGGCGCCGCAGGGGGCGTGGCCGGGCCGTGGCGCGCCGGGAAGGCGGAAGCGGCTCCGGGGCAGCGGGGCCCGGGCCGGGGGTCCGGAGGGGCCATGGCCGCGGCCGGCTGGGCCCCGCCGCGCCTCGACGAGTTCATCCTCACCGAGCCCCTCGGCTCGGGTACCTACGCCACCGTCTACAAGGCCTACAGGAAGGTAGGGCCGAGCCCGCCGTGGGGGTCGCCTTTTTGCTCCCGAATCTGCACCCCCCACGCCCGTGGGACCCCCGTTTTCCAGTGCTCCACATGGGGTACCACCCCTATAGCCCTCGCCTGGAACCTGCTGCCCCCTTGAAGGGGGTTTTTCCCTCCCCTCCCCACCCGGCGGGCTGGGGGAGCAGCCCCTGGTGGCTGTTTGGGGGTGAGGGTCCAGCGTTGTCCCCCCTCCTCGGCAGAGGGACACGCGTGAGGTGGTGGCCATCAAATGTGTCAACAAGAGGAGCCTGAACCGGGCATCGGTGGAGAACCTGCTGACAGAGATCGAGATCCTCAAGACCATCCGCCATCCCAACATTGTGGAGCTCAAGGACTTCCAGGTGGGCTGGGGGCTTCCCGGGGGGCCTCTGAGCCAGAACTTCTCTGGCTCGGATCTATCCCCGCTTCCCGCGGGTGTATCCGTGGGGCTTGGTGCCAGCAACTGGGCAAACTGGTCCAGGTGAACCTGTGTGGGTGGGACTGGCTGGGGTGGCACGGCAGGGTCCTATTGCCCCGCAGTGGGACAGTGAGCACATCTACCTGATCATGGAGTTCTGCGCCGGGGGGGACCTCTCCCGCTTCATCCGGATGCGCCGGATGCTCCCCGAGAAGGTGGCACGCGTCTTCCTGCAGCAGCTCGGTGAGGACACCCCGCCTGGCTCCCGCTCTGGCTCTGCTGGGGACCCTTCCCCAAGGTTTTGGGGTGCAGGGCTGCGCTATCACGTGCCCATCCACCCGTCCAGCCTGTGCCCTGAAGTTCCTGCACGACCGCAACATCTCCCACCTGGACCTGAAGCCGCAGAACATCCTCCTGAGCGCCCCGGAGAACCCCCAGCTGAAGCTGGCAGGTCAGGGCAGCCCCTGGCAGGGGCTGGGAGGGGGCAAATCCCTTCTCCCTGTGCCCCCACGAGCTCTCTGTCGGGCAGATTTCGGCTTTGCTCAGTACATGTCCCCGTGGGACGAGAAGCACGTGCTGCGCGGCTCCCCGCTCTACATGGCCCCCGAGATGGTGTGTCGGCAGCACTACGATGCCCGCGTGGACCTCTGGTCGGTGGGCGTCATCCTTTACGGTGGGTTTGGCTTTTATTGCCCCGGGGGGCTCTACTCAGGGCTGGTTTCCCCCTCTCCATCTCCCCGCACCGTTCCTTCCCCCTGCCACAGAAGCACTTTTTGGGAAGCCGCCCTTCGCTTCCCGCTCCTTCGCCGAGCTGGAGGAGAAGATCCGCAGCGACCGGGCTGTGGAGGTAACGTGGGGTGGGGTGGGGCTGGGGGGGCTCTCACAGCGCTCAGTGGGCTCAGCCCCTTCCTTCCCCAGCTCCCCAGCCGGCCCCAGCTCTCTCAGGAATGCCGGGATCTCTTGGGACAGCTGCTGGAGAGGGACCCTCGCAAGCGCATCTCCTTCGAGTGCTTCTTTGCCCACCCCTTCGTGGACATGGAGCACATCCCCGGCCCCGAGAGCCTGGGCAAGGCGGTGAGCGGGGCTGGGGGCTGCAGCCTGGCAGCGGGGGCGTTCCAAGCCCTGAGACCCCCCTTGTGTCCCCCAGACCGACCTGGTGGTGGAAGCGGTGAGGAAGGATCAGGAGGGAGACGCCGGTGCCGCCTTCTCCCTCTACCGCAAAGCACTGGAGTATTTCGTGCCAGCACTGCACTGTGAGTCCCCAGGGGGCTGTGTGGGGCCTGGGTGTATTTCTGGGGGGCCAGCACCCTGGGGGAGTCCAGCTTTTAGCCCACTCACCCCATGTTTGGTCATTCTCCCCCTTAGATGAAAGCGACGCACGGCGCAAAGAAGCCATCCGGGCCAAGGTGAGCCAAAATCCGGATGGTTTTGGGTGGGTTTGGGTGGTTTCTGGGGGGTGGGGGCAGCACCCGCATCCTCTGCACCCCGTATCGGGGGTCTCCTCACCCCCACGATGTGCACAGGTGAGGCAGTACATCTCCCGAGCTGAGGAGCTGAAGGTGTTGGTCACCTCCAGCAACAAGAACCTCCTGGAGAAAGGAAACCCGGCCAGAGAGCTCCTTAAAGGTAGTGATTTTTGCCCTTCCCCCAGTGTCGGAGCTGGCAGGGGCCGTGGTGGGGTTTTGGGCTGAAGGGTGAAGGTTTTGGGCAATCCCCCTTGCAGAGATGGCCAAGGACAAGCCCCGGCTCTACACGGCGCTGGAAGTGGCTTCAGCTGCCATCGCCAAGGTGAGGGGTGGCCTTGGGGGTCACCTCACCCCTCGAGGGAAGGGGAAGCTGCAGACCTGGTGGGGAGGGGGCTGCTGGACCCCCCCAGGAAGGCACAGCCAGCCCCCCGGGGCCTCTTGCAGGAGGAGGAAGGCAGGGATGACAGTGACGCCCTGGAGCTGTACCAGCAGAGCTTGGGGGAGCTCCTGCTGCTCCTGGCCGGTGAGTTGGGACTGAGGCCGGGGTTTTGGGGCAAGGATGGGTCCTGCTCCCATCCCTCATCCCGTGGCAAATTTCCCCTGCAGCGGAGCCGGCGGGGCGGCGGCGGGAGCTGCTCCACGCCGAGGTGAGTGCCAGCCCTGTGACACCCGGCCGTCCCTGGTGGCCTGGCTCCAGAGGGACTGTGTCCTCTCTCTGTCCCCACCAGATCCAGACCCTGATGGCCCGAGCCGAGTACCTGAAGGATCAGATCAAGGTAGGATGAGTGGGGGGGTGCTCCGGAGCGTGCTGGGGGAGGATAAAGGCTGGAAAATCCCCTTCTCCCTTGGCAGATGCGGGAGGCACAATCCATGGGCAAAGAGGCGCTGGCAGAGTCCGTCCGGAGCGGTGAGTTGCCCTTTGCCACGGGCACTTGGGCGATGTTCCCCAGCCGTGGGGATGTCCCTGCCCCACCCAGCCCCATCTCCCTCGGCATGGCCACGTCCCCGGGGGTCCACCTGGGCGGTGGGGACAGCACGGTGTGCCCGGGAAAGCCCAGTGAGTCCCGTGTGCCTGGGGACAGCCCGGTGTGCCCGGGACAGCCCGGTGAGTCCCGGTGTGCCCGGGACAGCCCGGTGAGTCCCGTGTGCCTGGGGACAGCCCGGTGTGCCCAGCACAGCCCGGTGAGTCCCGGTGTGCCCCGGCACAGCCTGTACCTTGCAGTGACTCCCAGAGCTGCCCCGTTGGATGCTGCTCGCTGCCTGCCTGGAGACGCCGGCGCCAGGATGACACTTCGGTCCCCCCCACCGGGGTGACACCCAGGGGTCACCCTTGGGCTCCCAGCCCCGGGGGGCTCAGCGGGGCCATCTGCCCCTCTCCCAGGCGCTGGCTCATTTCCCTGCCAGCCCTGCCTTGACCGTCTGCTGCTGCAGCCTCCCCTGCCACAGCGGCCGGGTTATTCCACTCTAATTCCCTCCGCTGGCTCCGTGGGAAGGGTATTTTTATCCTGGCACTGGGCTCTGGCAGGACATCCCCCTTGCTTTTTTGGCTGGGTGGTTTTTCCACCTCCCAAAATCTGGGAGAGCCCACATGAGCCACAAATCCGGCCGGGAGCTGAGGGTGGGCAGGGATGCTCCGCTGTGCCTTCCTCGCCCAGCATCTACCTCCGCATCCACTGCTGCTCGGCCAGCCTCCAGCACCGCTGCACTGGCCCAGCCCGGCCATCCTGCCTGCCTCTCACTGCTGGAGCTCTGGGAATGAGGCTTTTCCTTCCTAAACCTGGAGCCTGGCAGTACTGGCTGCATCTCAGTGTCACCACCGCGAGCAGCGCTCGGCGGGGACCGATTGAGTCGGGCACGAGCAGCAGTCAGTCACCTTCAGGGAGACACTCTCAGCATCCCACCTGCCCTGCTCCACTCCTCAGGGCCCTGACCCCAAAAACATCCAAATCATGTTCCCAGGAGTCATTGTTATGGGGTGCTGATGTTGCCTGTCCTGCAAAACAAGGTACTTGTCTCAAAATCTACTGTATCTCAAGGGAATGTAATTTATTGTCTTTAATAAACTTTAATTTTGATTTCTCCACCTCCTCTGCACTCAGATTTGTGATTTAAGCCCAAGAGGGGTCCCCAGGCAAGCCCAGGACCCAGAGGCCACCTGGGGTCCTGGAGCCACCGAGGCGGGCTGGGGACCCTCGTCTCTGTTCCCCCATGAGCAGAGCTGGGGTGTCCCCTCCCATGCTCCAGCAGTGCTGTTCCTTCCTGTGCTCCCCAGGGACACGAGGCAGCCAAAGCAAGGTTTGACCTTGTTTTCACTTCCCATCTTTTTTATTTTTCTGTGTGTGTGGAAAACACGGAGCAGAACGACACGAGCCATTACGTAAAATCCTGCTTTCTCCAATAGATTTTTGTGGCGGGTGAGGAAGGGCCGGGCTGGGCCGTAAGGGAAAGCAGAAGGGCTGAAGCGAACAACAGGAGGGTTTTTGGGGTGTCCCACAGATATTCTGAGCCATGACCTCTTCCCAAGACAGCCTCCCCCCACACCCTGCCCCTGTGCTGGCCGCTCCGTGCTCAAAACAGCTCAGAGCTTCCCGGGCAGATGCGACAAAGCACTTCTATATCTTTTTACTCTTATTATCATTATTCAGAGGAGAGATTATATCCCCAGGCTTTAAAGTGCTTTCCCAGCCCGTGGTGAGCGCGGGGCCGCCGGGGATGGCCGCGGCAGCGGTCGCAGATGATCGTGTCTGCCTTCACGCTCGGCCGCCAGTGCAGCCCATCCCCAGCCCCCGGGAGCAGGACGGGGCTCTGGATGCTTGTGTTGGTTTGAAAAGACAGGAATCTGTGAAGGAAGGCAAAAACCTCCTGTGAAATGGAATAGGTAAAGCCCCTCCCTCCGAATTACCACAATTTTGAAAAAGGCTCTCAGGCAAAGATGAGGGAATAGGAATAACAGTTCTTTTCTAGGGAAAAAAACTAAATAAAAACAACAACAACAACAACAACAATAATAATGTAATGAGTACAAACGAAACTAGTGATGGACGCAGAAACCTGACACCCTAATAATAATAATAATGTAATTAGTACAAACGAAACTAGTGATGGAGTCAGAAACCTGACACCCTGAGGAGTCAGGGTGTTGGGAATAGTCCAGTTAAATGGTGGCTGCTCCTCCTGCAGTGGCAGATGAATTGCTGCTGGAGCAGGGATCTGGAGAAGGGTGGAGTTTTCTCTGAAGGTCTGGTGATGGAGTAGTTGGGTCTGGTCTTCCTCTGGGAATCCAGCAGAGAAGAAGCTGCTCCTCTGGGAATCCAGGGAAGGGCTGCTCTGGTGTCCCAAAAAGTGCCGATTATATCCAGGTAGGAATGCTTGGCTCCTCCTTCTGAGGGAAACATCTCACCATGGGATGATGGAACTTTCCCAGTCATGCAGTGAGTCATTAATGGCCCATTAACAGAAGATATCTCCCCGGAGGGAGACATTGTTCTTGGAAGAGATAAGAAACCTGCCCCACCTCCAACAGATGGCAAATAGAATGCATGCTGATCTCACAAGCCAGGACAATGCTCCCCTGGCACTGATGGAGTCGGGGTGGATGCCAGTGTCACCTGCACCGGGGTTTTTGGCCGCCCAAATGTCACCGAGGGAAGGTGCAGCAATTATCTGAGCAATGACAGGGTGCGCCGGGTGTTTCGGGTATTTCACTTGTAACTGCTCTTATCAGGGTTTTGTCAGGGCCCTCGAGAATTCATCAAGGTTAATAAGACATGAACTGTGCTAAAGTAAGGAAGAAGAAAAGAAACTGAATTCCAAGACCACAAGAAAGAGGTGACAGGGAGCTGGGAGACACCTGGACTATAACCAAGCACATATTCTGAGCGGTGCATGCGGAACGTGTGGATGAGCGAAGACACCAGTGAGAAATGCGTGATCAGCGTCCACAGTAGAGTTAAAATGTACAAATAAGTACATAATATAAACAATAAATGCTTCTACTTGATTAAGTAGAGTCCTGGATTTCCCAGAGGAGGGTGGCACGAAGCCAGTGGTGCCCAGCCCAGCAGCGTGGCCTGTGTTACTCAGCCGCTCAGGGAGGAGCTGCTCCGCTCCAGCCCTGTCCATGCCACCACCCAGCCCTCCCAGAGGGCTCTCCCAACCCTCACGGGGTGGCTCTTGGGCCGGGCTGTCACCGGGAGTGGCAGCTGGGTTGTCACCCGGCGGTGCCAGCGCAGGGGGTGACGCGAGGTCGGGCACGCGATGGGCTGGGGGGAGCTGGGTCAGTGTGTGGAGCCAGCCTTGGGCTTTCCCAGGGCTCTTTAATCTGCATTAATCCTGCTTGCTGAACCAGCAGTGGGGGGATGGATGGGCCATCCCTTCCCACAGCCACTCGCAGGGAAGTTTAATTGCCTGCAAAAAGGAGAAGGGAGATTCCCCAGCCTTCCCTGGCAGCTCATTTGTTTCAGCACTTTAACAATTGCTCATTTAATGCTTTATCCGTTGGGGAAACCACTCACTCGTCCCACCCTCACCACTGGGAAGGAGGAAGATCCTGCAGCCAGCTGAGGAATGGGCTGGTGCAGGAGGGCAGGAGTTTTGTCAATAAAATTTATATTATTTGATCAATAATCTTATTTTGTTTTATTGGCAAAATTCCTTACTGCCAGCATCTTCCAGCAACCAGCAAGGACTTGCTTGGACAAACCCATCCCAATCCCAGCCCCATAGGTGAGGCAATTATTTAAGGCCTGTAAATGAGAGAGGAAAAAAAGAAAGAAAAACATTTTCTGCTTTAATCCACACTTATTCTTTGCTTTAAGATTTTCAGCGTGTGTGTTGATGCCCGGAGCAGTCGTATGGCCTGGAGGCTGCAGGGATGCTCGGGATACAGCAGCAGGAACCACTAGAAACTGGGATGAAGCCCTTGGTGGTCAGGGAAACGGCAGGAGGGGCTGCTTGCCCCTGCTGCCCCCATCCCAGATTCCTCCCTCCATCCCAGCTTCCTACCCCCATCCCAGCCTCCCATCCCTCTATCCCAGCCTCTCCTCCCTCCATCCTGACCTCTCCTCCATCCATCCCAGCCTCCCATCCCTCCATCCCAGCCTCCTACTCCCACCCCAGCCTGCTCCCTCCATTCCAGCCTCTCCTCCCTCCCTCCCGACCTCACTTCTCTCCATCCCATCCTCCCCACCCTCCATCCTGACCTCCCATCCCTCCATCCCATCCTTCTCTCCCTCCATCCCAGCCTCCCATCCCTCTATCCCAGCCTCACCTCTCTCCATCCTGGCCTCCCCTCCCTCCATCCCATCCTCCTCTCCCTCCATCCCATCCTCTCCTCCCTCCATCCCATCCTCCCATCTCTCCATCCCGACCTCCCATCCCTCCATCCCAGCGTCCTACCCCCACCCCAGCCTGCTCCCTCCATCCCAGCCTCCCCTCCCTCCATCCCAGCCTCCCCTCCCCAGCACAGGCTGTGTCCCAGCCATGGCAGCAGGGACTCAGCCTGGCAGGAGCATCCTCGGAGCCGCCGGTGCTCGGCTTTGCCGGGAACGCTTTGCTGAGGCTTAACACGTCGCGGGAGCCGTGCGGGGGGAGCGGAGGCTGCCTGGCTTTTCACATGCCTGGGGGTCATGGTGCCTCCTAAAATAAACCCGCTGAGCTTCACGCGGCCTTTGCGTGGCGGCACGTGGGCCGGGAGAGCGCCGAGCACAGCCCCGGGCTCGGGCACGGGGAGCAGGGCAAGGGGAGCCCCGGGAAACGGTGCAGGACAAGATCCTGGCTGGTGTGGGGGGATGAACCGCGGGGCTGCATCCCCGGCCCCGTGGCTCCCCGCTCCGCCTGGGATCCTGCTCGCCCGTGGGACGAGCGTTGGTGCATCCCTGGTGGGCAGGGAAACGGCAGGAGGGGCTGCCTGCCCCTGCTGCCCCAATCCCGGCTTCTCACACCCATCCCGGCTTCTCACCCCCATCCCGGCTTCTCACCCCAATCCCGGCCTCTCACCCCAATCCCAGCTTCTCACCCCCATCCCGGCTTCTCACCCCAATCCCGGCCTCTCACCCCAATCCCGGCTTCTCACCCCAATCCCGGTTTCTCACCCCAATCCCGGCCTCTCACCCCAATCCCGGTTTCTCACCCCAATCCTGGCCCCTCACCCCCATCCTGGCCTCTCACCCCCATCCCATCCTCCTCTCCCTCCATCCCATCCTCTCTTCCCTCCATCCCGGCCTCTCCTCCCTCCATCCCATCCTCTCCTCCCTCCATCCCATCCTCTCCTCCCTCCATCCCATCCTCTCCTCCCTCCATCCCATCCTCCTCTCCCTCCATCCCATCCTCCTCTCCCTCCATCCCATCCTCCCCTCTGTCCATCCCATCCTCTCCTCCCTCCATCCTGACCTCCCCTCCCTCCATCCCATCCTCCCCTCCCTCCATCCTATCCTCCCCTCCCTCCATCCCAACCTCCCATCCCTCCATCCCATCCTCCCCTCTGTCCATCCTATCCTGTCCTCCCTCCATCCCATCCTCCCCTCCCTCCATCCCATCCTTTCCTCCCTCCATCCCATCCTCCCCTCCCTCCATCCATCCTCCCCTCTGTCCATCCCATCCTCCCCTCTGCCCATCCATCCTCTCCTTCCTCCATCCCATCCTCCCCTCTGCCCATCCATCCTCTCCTCCCTCCATCCCATCCTCCCCTCCCTCCCTCCATCCTCCCCTCCCTCCATCCCAACCTCCCATCCCTCCATCCCATCCTCTCCTCCGTCCATCCCATCCTCCCCTCTGCCCATCCATCCTCTCCGCTGTCTATCCCATCCTCTCCTCCCTCCATCCATCCTCCCCTCCCTCCATCCATCCTCTCCTCTGTCCATCCCATCCTCCCCTCCCTCCATCCATCCTCCCCTCCCTCCATCCCATCCTCCTCTCCCTCCCTCCATCCTCCCCTCCCTCCATCCCATCCTCCCCTCCCTCCCTCCATCCTCCCCTCGCTCCATCCCGGCCCCGTGGCTCGGGCTCCGGTTGGAATCTCGCTCTCCGCCGTGGGCCGAGCGTTGATCGTGCCTCGGGGCTGGGATTGAAGCAGCGAGGGCTGGGCTGGGGCCGTGCCCGCTCCCCGCTATCCCTTTCCTGCCGGGGGATTAGACCAGCTCGGGCTGATCCTCATCAGGTATGATCTCCTTCCCGAGCTAAAGCTGCTCCTGCCAATCTCCCCTCCCGCTTCTCCGCGGCTCCCAGCCGGGGCTGGGCTGGGGATCTGATGGGAGCACACATCCCTGGAGCTGCTGGAGTCCCCCGGTCCCCGGGTCTGGAGGGTTGGGAGGATGTGTGTCCACGCCTGAGCTGCCCCTGTCTGTCTGTCTGTCCTCTCGGGAACGGGCAGCAGGAGTTTCCCAGAGCTGCTGGGCCCTGGCACAGGATTATCAGGGAGATGGGGGCAGGAAGGAATCTCTGGCACAGCAGCCCCAGCCGTGGCTTGATCCAACACCAGGAATAATAAATAAATAAATAAATAAATAAATAAATAAATAAATAAATAAATAAATAAATAAAAATAAAAATAAAAATAAAAATAAAAATAAAAATAAAAATAAAAATAAAAATAAAAAATAAAAACTAAAAATAAAATAAAAATAAACCTATAATAACAACAATAACAATAACAATAACAATCACAATAACAACCATAATAATAATAATAGTAATAATAATAATAATAATAATAATAATAATAATAATAATAATAATAATAGTAATAATAATAATATCAGTTCCCCAGCACCCTCCCCTGTGTTTTCCTGGATGACCCATCCTCCACTGCAAAACCAAACTGCAGCTAATCAGCTCCCACGGGATTTGGAGCGATAAATTCCCAACCCAGTGCCAAGTTTTTCCAGGAAGCCTCACGGCAGGAGCCCCCTGCCTGCCGGGATGCCGCCAGGGCTGGGATTCACACCTGCAGGAGCTCGGGCTCATCCCTGCAGCGTGTCCTTGCTTGGAGCAGCGCACTGGGCATGCTGCAGTGCCCCTGAGACTGAGCCTTCTGAAGGTTTTGTATTAAAATAGCCGAAAAAACTGCGGAAAAATGGGAATTTTGTTTGCTTTAAACCCAGCTGCTGCCAACGAGCTGCTCGTAGCATCCCTTTGGTCCCAAAGGTGGGTGCAACCAGGAGAGGAGCTTTCTTTGGGATTCTGCTGCCACAGAGCTCTCCTTGGAGCTCCTGTCCCTGCACCAGGAAGGGGCACCCCAAAACCAGGAAAATAGGGAAATTTGCCCGGGGAAACAGAGCTCAGGGAAAAAAGTAAATGCATAGACGTCTCCTGGTATTTATTCCACCGGTTATAACAGTACCATGGCACGGGGACAGCACAGGAGGTGAGGGACACTCAACCGAGCACGGCACGACTACAGCACGACGAGCGGGAGACGGGGAGATGTTCCCTCATGGCTTTGTTCTTCTCCTGGCAGGAACAAGGACAGGATGCCACCCCAGGAGAAGGATGCCAGGGCTCAGCTCGGCAACAGGGAGGGTTTTTGTCCCTCTCTGGTGTCAATTCGGGCTTCAGCACCCCCCTTCCCACAGGGATCGGATGGCAGGTCCGTCCTGGCTGCCTCCTCCCGAGGGCCCTCAAGGGCGCAGGGGTTGGTGTTCCTGGCAGGGATGGGATGGCGTTCCTCACCTGATGGGGATGGGATGCGGGGAGGGAGGTGTTCCACACCCTGCCTCGTCCTTGCCAGGCAAATCAGAGCCTCCTGTGCATTTCTAGGAGGCTGAGTGGAAACGCAGAGGCAGAGCCGCAGCGTGAGGCCACCACTCCGAGGTCAACCACAATCCAAGGTCAACCACACTCCAAGGTCAACCACACTCCAAGGTCAACCACACTCCGAGGCCACTCTCCTTCCCTGCAACCCCCCCGGCTCTGGCTGTGGACTCCCCCTGCCCGGGCACGGGAGGAGGCCTTGGGGTACGGGGGGGACATGCTGGCTCTTGGCTCTAACCTCAGCCCGGGGAACGAAACGAAAGCCACACATCAGGGACATCTGGGTCAGGGACTCGAGGGGTCACACGGCTCAGGAGGAGCCGAGTGACACACGGCAAGGGTGACAACATGGCTGGGGTCCCCGCTGCAGGCAGCAGCCCCCGCCAGACCCGGCGCTGCGTCCCCTCCCCGCTCAGCCCCGTCACATCACGGAGCACTTCTCCGCCGATTGCTTCAGGTCCTCTAGCGTGGCCGAAGCTTTGTCCTTCAAGGAATCAAGGTCCAGGTTCTGGATGTTGCTGAGCTGGCCGATCACCGAGTTCTTCTCCTCCTCCTCCTCGTTGTCCTGCTCGATCATCTTGGCCAGCTCCTTGGGCAGCTCCACGTCACCTCCCACCAGCTGGATCTGGTTGTCATCCGTTTCGTTCTGGAAGGGGCCGGGAGAGAGTCAGGAGGGGGGATGGCACAGCGGGAAGGGGCTTCTGGAAGCATCGCAGGAGGGGCTTTGAGCTGGCTTCCCACTGAAAGGACCATGTGGGAAGGTCCCTGGGGGTGAGGGTGGGATGCTGATGCAGCCTGAGGAGAGCCTGGGCACCCACAGCGAGGGCAGGGATGGAAACCCACACGCAGCACCAGCACAGACTGGTTTGCAGCTCGCCTTGCGGGGGGTTAGGCACATAATTAAACCAGACTTCTGCTTAACGACTGCTCCCACCGGCGGCCGGGATCGGCTCCGAGCCGGGAGCCACCGGGAGACTCGGGATGAGGCAGCCCGGCTGCCAAGCGGGATCAGGGATGAGCAGAAGAAACTTGTCAAAAGATGAGAAGGGACATCTTAACCACAAGAAGCAGTGAAAGGATGGTGGGGCCAGATCCAAATAAATCCCACTTTCTCCTGGAGAATAATAATAATAAAAAAAAACTCCATCTTTTCTTTCTCTGCCTTTTCTGGCTTTTGGCAGGGGGTAAAAGAATTTCTCCAGCTGTTTATTTCCTGGATATAAAAGGGGGGTGGGAAGCAGGGGGGTGAATCCAGGCTGGCTGAACAACACCAAACAATCAGAGCAATCTCACTTGGCTTAGCTGACCCTTTGGAACTAATATTAGCCCGGCTCCAATTTGGAGTATTCACCACTGAGCGACTCTTCCTGAATAAAGGGTGGGTTTGGAGGCAGAAGAGCTTGTGACATATCCAAGAAAGGCTGAATTATCCCTTGATTAAATTGTTTTCAGCGAATCGTTCATCGTGCGGAAATTCCAAAATCGGAGTTTAGATGGGGGACGTTCGCCAAATAATCCGAGGAGAGGAGCTGGCTAATCCAGCCAGGAAGGTGCAAGCCTGGCTGCACTCCCAGCTCCAGGGAGTCTGGGGTGAAGGTGCTTTTCCCTCACCCAGCTGGATTTAGGTGACAAAAACGAGTGACGGGGAGATCAAGCAAGGGTGGGAGTCCACTGTGTCAGGCTGGTGGTCTGTGGTGCCCAGGGGGAAGGAAAGGGGGCAAAATTTGGGGAGAAGGATGGTTTTGAGGGGAATTTATTTGCCTTTGGGCGTTTGAAGCTCAAACCCCAGCCAGCCAAGGGGGTCCTTGTCCCTTCTGCTCACTCCAGAGCTCCATCTGGAGCTTGGCTCCCGCTGTGGCCCCGTTCCCAGCGCCGCCGTACCTTGGGGAGTCTGTACTTGTCTCGGAAGTGGGACCTGACCGTGGCTCTCTCCGCCTTGCGCTGGGCAAACTGGGCATCTCTCTCCATCCTGCGAAGCACACGGGGCACTTACCAACAGCCCCTGCCCCCCATCCCTGGGTTTGCGCTCCCCCCAACCTCAGCACCCCCATTTTTTCTGAAAAACCCCACTTTCCCACAATTTCCTCCCCCCCAGCACAGCCTGGAAGGAGAAAACAACCCCATCTCCCGGGCGAGGAAGAGGATTAAGGGATTAGGGGGCTCATTAAACCCCCTCACGGTCCCGCTGTCCCCAGCGCCGGCTGCCCCATCTCCCATGGGATGTGGGAGCGCAGCGGGAGCATCCCCTTCCCGCGGGGCCCCCGGCTCCAGCCCGTGCCGGTGCCCGGTGCCCGGTGCCCGGTGCCCGGTGCCCGGTGCCCGGTGCCCGGCGCCGCCCGCACTCACTTCTCCTCCACCAGCTGCCGCTGGTACTCCTCATACTCCTCGCGGGTCATGCCCTGCGCCTCGGCCGGGGACTTCTCGCCCTCGCTCTTCTCCTCGCCGCCCAGGCCGCCCGTGAGGTTCTTCAGCTGTCCCCCCACCATGCTCTTCACCATGAAGGCCATGGCCGCGCCTTCGGGGGGCCGGGGGGCCGGGGGGCAGCGCGGCTCTGCAGCCGGGACAGCCGCGGTCACCCCGGGGTGCGGGTGTGGAAGATGGGGAACCCCCGAGGAACCGGGTTAAGGGTGAGCTGGGGCGCCAGGGAGCCGAGGGATGGTCGGTGCCGGGATAGGGAATCACCGGGAGGCTGTGGATGGAGAGGCGGAGCGCCCGGCTAGGGAGCGGCTGGGGGTACCGGGATGTGCTCCTGGGCAGCTGGAGCGCTGAGATCCCGGGGGGATGGGGCAGCGGGCGGTGGAAGGGCCGGGATCGGGACACCACGTTCGGAGGAGGTGGGAAGGGGGAGACGAGCTCCGGGGAGGAGCCGCGCTCAGCGGAGCCGAGGTCGCGGGGAGCTGCGATGCGGGGTCGTGGAGGATGCGGGATCAGCAGAGCCAAGCTCACACAGTGCCGAATTCCCCAGGAGCCAGGATCAGCAGAGAGGGGTTTCCCGGGAGGCGGAATAGCGAGTGGTGAGAAGCCGGGGTCAGCAGAGCTGAGTGCCCGGGAGTTGAGGTGCGGGGTCAGGGGGGAGAGGGGCTCAGCGGGGATGAATTCCCGGGATAACGGAGAGCTGAGTGCTCGGGGTGCCGGAGCACCGGGCGGTGGAGGAGCCAGGGACGGGGAGATGGGATCCCGGGGACCCGAGGCACGGGGTTATGGAGGAGATGGGGTCAGCGGGGATGACAGAGTACCGAATTCCCGAGGAGCCGCGACCAGCGGTCAGCGCAGCGGAGCTCCTGGGCCAGTGGAGTACGGAGTTCCCGGGATGCCGGAGCACTGAGAGGCGGAGGAGCCGGGCTCAGTGGAGAAGAGTTCCCGGGAGGTGAGTTCCCGGGATGGCGGAGTCCGGAGCTCCAGGGACGCCGGCGTCAGCGGAGCGGAGTTGCCGGGATGCCGGGAGTCCGGGATGCCGGGGTACCGGAGTCCGGGATGCCGGGATGCCGGGAGTCCGGGATGCCGGGGTACCGGGATGCCGGGGTACCGGAGTCCGGGATGCCGAAGCTGCTGCCGGGGTTTGCGCGGTCAGCGGGGCCGCGCCGCCCGGCCGCCCATGGCGGAGCGGTCCCGGCCGGGAGCGGAGCGGAGCGGGCGCTGTGGCACCGGGGCTCGCTCAGCTCCGGTGTGTGTGTCCCTGCACGGCGGCAGTACCGCCTCCCGCCTCTCCCGGCCCCGCCGCCTCCCCCCGGCCCCGCCGCCCTCCGCCGGGCGGAGCCGCCGCCGTCCCGACCCGCCCCGGGGCACCGCGAGTGGGAAGAAGGGGCCACAGAGGTCCCCGGGGACACCGGGTGGATGGAGCCACGGTGGGGGCTGCGGGGAGCTCCCCGAACACCCTTCCCTCCGTGATTCCCGGCTGCTCCATCCCACCCCGGCGCCCTTTCTCCCACTCTGTTCCCCATCCTTCGGGTCTGGCAGGAGGAAAAGCCAGGCTTGACACTCGGAACAAGCCATATGTACCAGCACCAGTCACAACTGTTGTTTGATCATCCATCCAAGGGCTGGTGCCCGAAAGTTCCCTTCCCTTTATCCTATTAATGATATCCCTGGAATATTCCCATCCCTCGAAGCATCCAAGGCCGGGCTGGACAGGGCTTGGAGCAACCTGGGATAGTGGAAAGTGTCCCTGCTCATGGCAGGGGTTGGAGCTTGGGAGAGCTTTATGGTCCCTTCTGATTCCAGCCAATCTGCAATTCTGTGATTTTTATATTAATTAATACTAAAGCTGCTCTCAGCCCCCAGAGCACAGGCACAAAGGCGTTCATTGATCACCTAAATCAGGAGGATGGAGCGGGCATTGATTGTGTTGCATCATTCCCTGGCTCTCTCCAACCCCACTCCCACTCCTGCTCTTCCCTTTGACTGCAGCCGCATTCCAGGCCTTGGGGAGTGAGCAATTAATGGCATCAGCAACGCACCTCCCTTCCAGATGGCCAGCCTGGCTTTAACAGACATTTCTCCCTTTTTTCTTCTTCCCTCCTGAAAAATGAGCGCGGATCCAAACCTCAATCCCGGCTTGCGGGAAATAATTTCATTTCCGAAATATAAAGACAATCTCTGCAGATTAAAATGATGGAACAGCTGTGGAGCGACAGCACAAAGTGACAGGGGGAGGGGGAATCGGCCCATCTCCTCCCATCCCCCCCACCCAAGGTAAAATTATGTCTTAAGAGGAAAATGGATTAAAAAATAACAAAATTTTCTAGGATAATGATCTGGCCAGCAGCTTGGCAGTCACCGCTGCTCTTAGGGATTGGGACACGCTCTTGGAGGTGACAACAGGGGGTTTGTCCTGGTGAAGGCTCTCCTGGCAGAGCAGAGCCCCCTTCCACTGACGCTGGGATGAGGGAGGTCCCCCTGTCTGGCACAACTCCAGCGTCACCCACAGCATCCCCCACCACGCAGGTGCCCCTGCGCCTGCTGCTCACCCCGAGCTGACAGCTCAGGAGCCTCAACAGCTTTTTGAAGTGATGATTTTTGCTTTTCACACCGATCTGCAGGCCCTCCTAAGTGCTTTCCCATGGAGAACCCATGGAAAATTAATTTTAACCCACAATGAGCTGGCACAGCTTGCTGAGAAATAGGCTGGGAGCTGCCGGGCGCTCGCAGATGTCCAACTGCCAGCAGCGTGGTCACGTTCTGGCTGCCAGGCTGGCTGAAAAGAGGGGCAGGGAGAAGGACCAGCACCCTGGTTGTGTCCTTGGCTGCTGGCCCGAGCCTTGAGCGGGCTCAGAGCAGATTTGGGATGAGGCCGGTCCTGGGAGCTTCGCTCACTGTGGATTTCGCTGCGAGCAGCTATTAACAATAAGAGACTGGAAGTCAGGACCGATTTTTTCCAGCTGGGTTAGATGGGTCAGCTCCCACGGAGCCTCCCTGGCTGAGGAACTCAGGGCAAGCAGCTCCTGATGAGCAGAAGCCCTGGGCCAAGGCGAGCAGGTGGAAAGAAGCCCGGCGTGCCCCGTCCCTCGTGGCAGGGACACTCGCTCACCCGCTCGGGCTCTGCACCTCCTGCAGCCCAGGTTTTACAGGGATGGAGCAAAAGGCAAAGGAAACCTTTGGAAAGGTTTTGCAGCTCCCCCATGCCCTCAGCTCTTCCTGGAGAAGCCGGTGTCCCACCTGGAGGCAGAGCCGGGGGGACAATCAGAGGGTGCAGTGAGCTGGGAAATGATGCTTCGAGGTGGTTGATTTCCCCATTTGCTTCTCCTCGGGCAGCTGAACCGCTCCTCATCCCTGAAATATATTCAAGTGAGCGTGAGTCATCCTTCCTGCCAGGACTCCAACCTGCCCTAATGAGATGTAAATCCTTGCATGACCTATTATATTAGCTTATGCTATATCACACATCTCGGCGGATTAGACGGCGGGGAGATGAGACGTCCCCCGCCGCAGCCTCAGACAAGACGCTGGAAGTTAAGAGGATCCTCTCTCAGCGCTGACACCTGATTTAAATTGGAAGCAAGCAGCTCCCTCTGCCATGCTGAGAGGGATCATTCCAGCTCCTCTTTGCAGGTAACTGGTTCCAAAGGCGCAGTTCCACCAGCCGAGCTCCGGAGGAAGCTCCAGGGCTCCCCGACTGGCCGTGGGTTGTACAGGGGAGGGGAGGCTCGGTGACCTGGAGCTGCAGGACCATGGCAATAAGGGCAGCACAAGGCCTGGTCCTTGTCAGCCTGACATGCAGGAACGTGAGCGTTCCTAACCTTGGGAGACCCCGAAGGAGCAGGTGAGGGAATCCTGGAAAGCCGCGTGTGACAGGAGGGGAATGAGGAGGCGTTTCCAAAGCGAGCAGGCAGCTCACTGCTGCTGCTGCTGCTCTGCTGCTGCTGCTCTGCTGCTGCTGCTGCCGGGGAAAGTCACGCCGGCCCTTGGCAGCTGATTGTCACTTCTGCTGATGGGGACAGCCACCGCCACCCCAGGACCCGCCGCGCTCGCCTCTGACCAGAGTCACCTTCACTCCTGCCACCTGCCCATGGGGACAGGGACACCCTGCTGTGCCCCCAGGGCATGGTGACATCCATCCGCAGAGTCCCGCTGCTCTTATGGACCAGCAGCTCCCAAGAGTTTGAGGGAAAATATCTGGAAGGTCTTGAGAAAACCATCCCTTCAGTGGGGTCCCGACTGGGAGATCCTCGACAGGGATGGAAGCGCTGCCATGTCACTAACGGAGGGAATAAAGAAACTTTAGGATAAGGGTGTGGTAAATTACCAAATGAAATTCTTTTTGGTGTTTACTCGAACAGAACTCCATAAAGCTGGGATTTGCCTTGGCTGAGGAAGAGGGACTGCAGCTCAGCTTGTCATGGAAGCGAAACCAAAGATTTCCCTGCCCCAGGGAAGCATTCCCATGGAAAGCCTCCCCACTCCTACAGAACCAAACCTCTGAGTTCCCAAAATCTGACATCATCTTCACAGGATCAACAAATCCTTGTGCTCCCCTCCTTGCCTTGAGGTGCCCTGGGAGCCCCTGAGTGGGGCTGGGAAGCAAAGCCAGGAGTGGGGACACTGCTGGAGTGTCCCCACAATTCCCTCGGAATTCCCTGTTATCATCTTTCTGTCACTGAGCACGGGACTGCCCAGACTCAGCACTGTGGGGTTTGGGAAGTTCGGGGTGGGAATGGTCCTGTCATGCAGAACACACACCCTGAGGGGTGGGGTTGGGGTGGGAATGGTCACACAGGACAGAGAGCCCTGGTCCCAAGGGATGGGGATTTGGGGTGGGAATGGTGACACAGGACACAGAGCCCTGGTCCCAAGGGATGGGGATTTGGGGTGGGAATGGTCACACAGGACACAGAGCATTAGTCCCAAGGGATGGGGATTTGGGGTAGGAATGGTCATAGTAGACAAAGAGCCACCATCCCGAGGGATGGGGGTTTTGGGGTGGGAATTGTCATCCATGACATACACTCTGAGGGATGGGGTTTGGGATGGGAATGGTCACACAGGACACAGAGACCCCGTCCCAAGGGATAGGAGTTTTGGGGTGGGAATGGTCCTGTCACCCAGAACACGCACCCTGAGGGATGGGGTTTGGGGTGGGAACTGTCCTGTCATGCAAAACGTCCATCCCAAGGGATGGGGTTTGGGGTGGGAATGGTCACACAGGACACAGAGCCCCTGTCCCAAGGGAATGGGGATTTGGGGTGGGAATGGTGACACAGGACACAGAGCATTAGTCCCAAGGGATGGGGGTTTTGGGGTGGGAATGGTCATAGTAGACAAAGAGCCTCCATCCCAAGGGATGGGGGTTTTGGGGGGGGAATGGTCATCCATAACATACACCCTGAGGGATGGGGTTTGGGATTGGAATGGTCACACAGGACACAGGGCCCTGGTCCCAAGGGATGGGGGTTTGGGGTGGGAATGATCACACAGGACACAGAGCCCCCGTCCCAAGGGATGGGAGTTTTGGGGTGGGAATGGTCCTGTCACCCAGAACATGCAACCTGAGGGATGGGGTTTGGGGTGGGAATGGTCCTGTCATGCAAAACGTCCATCCCGAGGGATGGGGTTTGGGGTGGGAATGGTGACACAGGACATAGAGTCTCCATCTCAGGGAATGGGGATTTGGGGTAGGAATGGTGACACAGGACACAGGGCCCTGGTCCCAAAGGATGGGGTTTGGGGTGGGAATGGTGACACAGGACACAGAGCATTGGTCCCAAGCGATGGGAGTTTTGGGGTGGGAACTGTCCCGTCCCACGGGACACACAGCCGCTGCCCCAGGGGACAGGGATGTTTTGGGGTGGGAACTGTCCCGTCCCACGGGACACACAGCCGCTGCCCCAGGGGACAGGGAGGTTTTAGGGTGGGAACTGTCCCGCCCCACGGGACACACAGCCGCTGCCCCAGGGGACAGGGATGTTTTGGGGTGGGAACTGTCCCGTCCCACGGGACACACAGCCGCTGCCCCAGGGGACAGGGAGGTTTTAGGGTGGGAACTGTCCCGCCCCACGGGACACACAGCCGCTGTCCCAGGGGACAGGGATGTTTTGGGGTGCCGCCAGTGCTTTGGCAGAGGAGGAGGAGGGGAAGCAGCTCCCAGCAGAGAGCCCGGCTGGCTGCGATTCCCGGCGGGAGGAGGGTGCTGTGCGAGGTGAGGAAGAAGAGGGAGATGCTGGGGGGGGCTCCCAGGGCGGTGTCTGCAGCCGAGGCGTGACACAAATGCGGCCAGACGGACATACAGAGCACGTAAACAGGCACAT